ATATTTCTAAAACGTCCCATATTATTAATGATAGTTTTGTGAAGCTGACAGTCAAACGGTACAACGTTGACGAGTGTGTCGCAGTTCAACTGCATATCATATATTTTTCTTAGCGCTTTAATTAGTCATGAGTACTTATTTTGACATTCACTGCAAGCGATGAAAAAAAAAACCAAAAAGACTGATGTGTTGTCTATACTGTTAATTGAGCCAAACTGTTTGAAATAATAAAATGGTTAATATCAGGTTCTTTGTACTACACTAACTAAAGTCCACTTTAAAGCTGCAATGAAGGTTTTCAATTAATGAAAACGAAAACAGGATTTGAAAGAAATACGTACAAACAGTTGATAATAATGCTGCACTTGAATTGCATGATTAATTGCGCATCAACTGTGACCGTTTTGGCGTCGTAGCAATAGTTGTTCGGGAAAAGAAAATAAAGGCATATGTTGCCTAATATTAAGAAACAATTTTGTTTTTTTATGCATTTTGATTTGACTAGTGAAACTTTGTTTCGATTATGTTCAAACAATTGTAATTTCCTCTCTAGAACGGACCAAATCATATTTTTTCTGATGTGACCGCTGCATTCAAAATTCCGAAGCAATATAATTTTCGTAGGACTACCGACTAATATAAAATTAGTAGTGGAAGCAGATTCAGTTGCGGACGTTTGGCGGTAAAATCGAAGACGTCGAAACAGCTTTTTCTGGTGATGAATACGCACTTGCACAGTCTAGTGTTGTGCCAAGCTCTAGTGTTGATATTTTAGACCACATCAGAACCAAAAATTAAAAAGGTTACAATTTGAAGTGTTCTCGAATACTTAAAGGTGCAAGAAGATTCTCAAATTTGCTACTGATTAAGTAGGCTTATTATAACGTGTATAAAACTTGACCTACGAAGTACTTTTAATACCAAGTAACAAAAACTATTTAAATTTTTGTCACTCATTTCACTATTTTAACACTATTTAGTAGTGCACCTAAAATGCAGTAAATATTTATGTTCGTTTATGGACTTCGGCACTTAAAGAAGGACAAATTATTAATGCCATGGAAATTACTGTACATCACTGTACATTACACTGAGTTACGCACTGACAAAAAGCTTACTAAATACTTGATAGTTATTACAGTAATACGATTTAATGATATCATTAGCTCGCTTAACATTATTTATTTAGGGATAGAAAAATAATCTTACGATTTCATAACAGTTTCGTATGAAATAATTTAGTAGGTACTTAATTTGACCGAATAAACATTCAAAAGTATACTGAAGATTTTGGGGAATTTTTCGAAGCTACTTTGCTTTCAATTACCGATATATAACGTAAATCGCCTTACCAAATTACTAGTTGTATTTGAAAATATGTAGTACATGCTTGATAAATATTCTGCCAAATATACAGAAATAAATACTTAGTCGCTTTTCTTCAGTTAGGATTAGTTCCTTTTTAATCTATATTTAAGCTAACCGGTTGTAAGTTTGAAATTTAAAGCGTTGACTAGCATAATAAACAAATTGGAATAATTCAAAATATGTTTTCTGCTGGCTTTCATTTCAATTTCAAATCACTTTCCATTGCTGTCTAATGCGTTCGGTCGAATCAGGCATGTTATTAGCGGTAATAGTATTGAAATTATTCAGTTTGCAGGAAAAAGTCATCAGCAATGATGTTCTTCCACATTTTCCAATTACATCACTTAACAGTTTGTATCTAAAATAAATAATTAATTGCAAATTTCTCATAAATTATAGGCCGTGTATCTAAGTTGGTTTAACTAGTTATTTAAAATTACATCACCAAGAAAGCCGCGCTATTAAGTATTAAAGTGTGGTTGTTTTAATTGAAGCTGAACATGCAAGGAAACGGTTTTTATTGCACAAGAAATATAAAGAATTATTTGTCCGCGATTCATAACTTTCGTTAGATTTTATCAGCCTTTGAGCAAAAAATCATTCTGAAAATTTAACAGAAAAATATCTCTTTTAACTTTTTAAACTCGTTTTTTAATCACAAATATGGGATATATCCTATGAGACACTGTGAACAGTTTAATAGTCTTTTTTGCGCCATACAGAGACAAATATTAAGGTATATTTACATTTGTGTTCTATTTTTTAATTTGCGATAACATAGATAATTCAGTTACAAAACACATGGTCTGCCAAATTTTTACAGGTTTTTCGTTAGCTTTTAAAATGGTAGATTACCTTAACAACTGGCCAAGACCCATCTTAAATCAGCGACTTAATCAACCTTTTAGCATCATTTTATTTTTTCGTCTGTTAAGCTATAGCTACGTACATGTTTCCTTAAGCTTAAATACACTTTTCATATTAAATAAATACACAACATACGAACAAATTATAATAATTTATAATAGGTACTCATTTAATTATTTAACTAATTTAAAACGCACTTATGCCACAAGCAATATATTAAATGACTCACAAAAATGTAATTGTAAAACGGAAAAAAAACTTTAAATTAGGTATGAAATCGGAGATATAACTAAGTTCCAACCTGCCCTTATTGTCGCGCTAATTAATTTCGATAATTTAAAAAAAAATTAAGATGTGGAAAATCATTATTTATAGATCTGAACGGATAGGGGATAGAGTGGATATCTAAGACGGCTGAAACTTTCATAAAAGTCGTTTTAAATCTTGGTTTTTACCAGCTTAGTACACATCTATTGGTCTCAAAATTATTGTAGGTACATATGTACTCGAGTGCGAGCTCTCTTTATGTGGCAATCTAGACTTTTTAACTTCTTTGGAAAATTTTTAACTCTGATTTTTGCTCGCTTGGCAAATTTCAGCTCGAAAATTCGTAAATATCAATCTCATAATGGTTACTTTTATTTACTAAGCTTCCTGCTTTAAAATTCGGGTCTTCCAATCTGAAGCAAGTGGAAATTTAAAGTTTTAACGATCTTCATAAGAAATTTGGCTCTAAAAATGCTGAAAGTTTCACAGAAAGCAGCCATAGTCCTGAGTTTGACCCTAAATAGGTCAGTAGTAAGTTATGTGTGGTAAAAGTCGAGTTTTCATTATTAAAATGTATAGTAGGTACATATATATTGGACAAGAATTGGATAAAGAAGTGACCAATAGAAACGCTCAAGAATAGATCGTCCGACCATCGCAAATCGGATGCATGGGACTTCAGCTTATTTCTTTGGCTTAAAAGTGTTACTTTAGTACCTACGCTGTGTTCCCGCCCTCAATTCTATTTAAAGCCTGCCGACACCTTGGTATGATTCTTATTAGGCTTCCAACTCACTTCACAACAACAAGAAGAGCAGCTGCATATGTACCTATGGATTCTAGCTCTCATTTTTGCGTAAAAATAACTTCAAAATTTGTTTGGTGATCCATGATAATGAGCTAGAGAGAACATTAATGAACTATTAATTGACGAAACGCGAAACATTTAATTAATTAACGTTCGAAAAATGCGTTGTACAACTAAATTAATGTCTAATGTTGTGTGTTAAATTTTATTATATATTAAGTTTTATGAAGCAAGAACTTTATAGAATTATACTAATTTTTATTTGAAATTTTACCATAAACAAAGTCCTGTTTAAAATGTAATTGAAAATAGCTTCTGCGTCCAAATTGACAATGGAAATGTAGAATAACCATTACCTACCAAGGGAAGTTAGGGCTTTCTGGCAATTTCAGAAGTTCTATTTGAAAGTATACCCACAGTTCTAACACAAATGTGGTTTTTGCAGTGCAATTGGTGAAAAAACTTCATTCAAAACTTGACCTTAGCATGCAATCCATGAGAGATTCTTCTCAATTTGAGGAATGGTTTAGCATTTTTGTGCTCGGGACACATGCATCATTACTTAGGACTAAATATTTGTAAAGATTACAGAAAAACTATGAATTCTTCCTGACGTTTATCAATGAACCAACTGGCATCTATGGAGGATTTTTTTCAGAGCTTGTTTGCTTGAAAGCGTACACTGATTTTATGATCTGATTTCATCATCATGGAATTTTAGTGTAGAAGTTTGAAGAACTATATTCGCACAATTTGCATTTAATTTTATTTATTGGTTTTCCTTCAACTTGACTTTTAATACGTAAAAATTGTGCCCTGCATTTTCCATGCTTTTACATAGTAAACATTTGTCAAACCCAATGGAGCATCGTTTTCATTCAAAATCTTCTAACTGAGGGTGCCATATATTTTATACTGTTTCTGAAAAATCGCAGAGATTCAGCAACTGGTAGTCAGTATTCTCTTAATGAACTAGCCAAGACAGCCATGTTCGGCTTTTATGTCCTTCACCTAAATGAACGTAGCATTAAAAAAACACAAATGTAGGTGGCATGTGAGCTCTATCTTTCTGTGCATAAATCAACATTGACTTAAACATGGCTGTATATTTTAGATAGGGAAATGAAGACCTTCACCCCTGGCGCGTAAGTAGATAATGTTCATCCCTCATCTGCGTTAAAACTACTCTAACGTACGCCCTTTTAATTGCTGATCACTTTCCCAAACAGAAGTAGCCGCCTAGTGAAAGCCTTCCAGCATAAATAAGATCTCTAGTTAAATGAGATTAATGTCAGTTCGGTGCATTGTATAATGACCAAATAGAAGTTTCAAACGTCCGGAAATGAAGACAGACCAAAATCGTTGGGGCGTGTTGTCATCTCAATCGTCATTTGAAAATCCAATCAATCACGAACCGGATACAAACTTCTGCTTCATGACGTCATGAGTTGATCCACTCTTTGCAATCCTAATGTTTTATTTCTGAACGGACTGCTGCCGCCATGTCACTGCTGAAGATGAAATATGAAAGCAAACGCCAAAACGAATATAGGTTTCAAATTTGAGGGGTAGTTAATGGCTTTTCAGATTCACTTTAAAGTGTGTTTGTGAATCAGATTGTGTTTCAAGTAGGTACTTATTACGCTCTAAAATTTGAATTATATTTAAATTAAGATGTGATAATTTGCTTTGAAGACTGGCTTCAATTAGTTTAATGAAGAATGGTTAAGCGAAAATCCGAGAAAAATGAAGCTCGTAAACCAACTTGATCGACAGTCGGCAAAGTATGGTAATTCCTAACCATAATAACCCTAAGGCCTTTCCACTTTCAGAAACCAATAAAATCCTCAAACCTCCTAAAAGCAAAGCTAGCAGATTTTGTCCTAAATTTATAGTTTATTATGATAATTATTAATTTTTGCTATGATGATAATACCTAAACAGCTGGCAGGGAAAAACTGAAGGCGTTTAATTATCTCGTCATCTTCAGTAAGAATTTGTTTGGAAACAGTGTTTTAATTATACCAAGTCAAAAAACATTTTTAACAATTTAGTTTGCTGACATGAAGTTTTCGTGTTATTTTTTCGCCTTTCGTAGTTTCCAGACAATCCCGGATTGCAAATACACGTTTTGAGACGTATTCCCGGATACGAGGCCTACAAAGACACTTCCCGTCATCTTGCCGGCAAGCGATTTCTCATTCCGGGTTTAGGAGGGACCATTGTGCCGGTTAAACTCACTGGATTACTCTATTCTGCTGTCAGGCATTCCATTTATTATAAAATCAGAAAAATCATTAATTTTCTGTCGATTTGTCCGTTATTACAGTTTTAAACGTGGCGGATTTAGACCGCACCTATTTTTGTATCATTTAAGTGAATAATATGTGAGATTAATGGTTGTTGAAAGCATTTTTTAAATGTATCTACAAATTTTTAACAAGTTACCCCGAGACTCATGCATCAGTAGCTTAAATGGTCTTACACTACTAGAACAAGTTACAACTTCGATCAAAGATTTGTTAGAGAACTTAACATATGTAACTATTATATTTTGTACAGTTAATTAATTCTTTTTTGACTAGCAAGAAATAATATGGGAATGTAAAAATAAATGGTGAAAATATGATTGCCATGAAAATAACACCATCCAAATCAGATAACAAAAATCAGGAGAAACAGTTTAAAAATATCCCGCTGGTGCCCTTAAGAAGCTTTCACAACTTTCACCTTTCTTCATTTGCTGCGAAACTAATAGTCCCAGGAATGCGAACAATTTAACAAATACTTAAACATCACTTTTCTAAAAACGTCTTACGATACTTGCAAATTTTGGTAAGCTTGTTTTTTATGTTCCTTACTTAGCAAATTGAATTTCAACTTAAACATGATAAACTCGTCTACTTATAGTAGACTTAATCCGTAAGTCATTTACTAGGCTATGGTTTGTACACGCACACTAAATAAATTAAATTGCAAATTTCAGATAATGACAACATGTTAAGGAAAACATAAAAAAATATTTTAAATTTAGAAAATAAATAAAATATTGGCCTGATTGCTACTCTTGACAAATCGCAAGAACATTTGCTACCAAGTTAAACACGTAATTTTAGGTTTTGAGCAAGTTTAATCTGATCCAATATAACATAAAATTATTTCTTCAAATAAGCGAACAACCTTAACATAGTTCAGCTAAAACTAAACTAGGCATAAAATCAAAGAAGAATTAGATAACAAAATAGTTAATAAGAGGCACAAAAATGTCGAAACAAATCAATATTTGATACCGATCTATATTAAAATTTACTTTTTATTTCATGATTAAATTGATTTCACGAGCCAGTGAAGAACACACAAAAATACACTAAACAAAGGGTGAGAGTCAGTTGCACGTATTGATCTTTGAATACCAGAAAACTCGTACTTAATTGGTAAGTAGTCTACAAATTTTCATTGGAAAATCAAATACTGATTTTCCAATGAAAATTAGGAACAACCCTTTAATGAGGGGATTTTCACTGAAGCCACTATTTAAAATAAAATAGGAGAGAAATAGATTTAAATTAAAACAAGCTACATTAATTCTAAGAGTGGCTAAATCCATTAATAAATCCAAAAAGTATTTCGAAAATAATAGGAGGAAAACAATTAAGGTCACAGTCGGGGATGTGACTCTTTCTCAATTCATGAAAGTCAATAAATTAGTTGCATGGAATGAAAAACTAGAACAAAAGAAACTACAAACTAACAGTGAAGAAACTTCATAAATGTTGTCGATTAATCAATAAAATATACCTAAAACAGACAAAGCCCGAAAAACATTTCTAAATGTGAGACCTAAAACAGTTTAGCACTTTTAAGCAGATGATAAGCACACTATTCCTATCGACAGTTTGGTCCAAAAATAGTCGCAATTTTCGTTTGGCACTGAACTTACAATTTCAATTAAAATCAAAGTCCCTTCAACAATTTCACAATTAAATACTTTAAATTTCACACATTTCAAACCAATGTGTTCCTAGCCTTGGTTGCATTTACCTTGCACGTTATGTAGACCCGGTCGGTTAATTTATATGCATTAAAATAGTGTGAATAAGAGTACTATGTAAAAAGATTAAGATCAATTTGCCAGCGTAAAAGCCTTCTAATTAGTTAAAAACATTTCCAGGCGAACAACATACAATCCGCCATCAAAACATTCTCAGGCACACAAATAAGGAGGGAAAAAAACGCCCAGAGAGAGATGGAGGGACGACTAACGCACTCAAAAAGCTTTTGTATTGCACAGACTGCAAAACATCAGACCGAATCTCCCCTCTCTATCCCTCCCACGTTCCGAAAGCACACTGCGCTCAACTGAGGTAATGTGTGCGATAAGTGGCAGGCCAAAATGGGTGGAGTAAAGAACGGGATGGCCACTGAATTTTGTTCTTCGAGTCAGTTTTGTCGCGACCGTCTGTGGGGTACTGAGAAGATCTCGGAACCTTAGTGAACATTTCGAATTATTCCTTGCGAAAAGCTGATTGAACTCATATTAGTGAAACCAGTTGAACTTGTTTAACTACTGACCACCAATTAACGTTTGTAAAGTAATAAAAGCGGAAAGTTTCTGTACTGCATAAACAACATTCTTGATTTCTTGAATATTATTCATTCTTGGAATACGGAAATTTGTGAGAAGCCCATCTAGTAGTGTGCACAGTGAATATTTGCTTCACACGTTCCGCGCTGAATCGTCATCCATCATGCTCAGTGACGTCATAACACAGGATTGGTTGTCGGCCTGTCACGTGGTTAGTTAATTGGGCTCGGTGGGCGGGAATACTGAGTGGAGTGGGGCAAGAAGGGAGGTCGGCTCCCGACCAGTCGTTGCCTTTCGAGGATTCCGGTAAAATTATTAATGACTATGAACTCGTTTCTGATGAACCCTGTTTCGGGTTATCAACAACCGCAACACATTTCGCCGGGTGTTGTGGTGGATCCAAAGTTTCCACCTACCGAGGAATATAGCCAAAACAGTTACATTCCGGCCGCGACTGAGAACTTTTTCGGGAATACTCCTCTGAACCAGCCGCAACATATCCAGTATGCGTATCATCACAATCCCCATCACCATCAACCGAGCTACGGAGCTTCTTTACCTCTATCCAACTCCGGTTATGGTGGTTATGGTAACTATTATCATCCTCAGCTGCATCATCCAGCTCCTCCGCTTCACCAAGCTCGACCGGTCCAGCCTCATCATGAGCCTCAAAATTCACACCTCAATTGTGCGTCGTTACCCGATGGTCTTCCAAACCATCCTCCTCCAACCACAACACCATCAAGTATCCTACACAATATTACAGACATTATTTCCCCAAATGTTTCCCAACCCAGTGATGTGAACAGTAGTGTGTGTAGCCCAGCTTCTGTGGGGCATGGACAAGATTCCAGAGGCTCACCGCCCACCCACTCCATGCAAGACTTGGGGTTGAGAATGGAAGATGGGTCTGACGAACAGGACGAGCTGGATGATGGTCAGGAAAGTTCGGTTAATAATGACGAAGAAGACGACGACGATGAGAACGGAGATAGGCAGATATACCCGTGGATGCGGAAAGTGCATGTCGCTGGAGCATGTAAGTATTAAGAAAAGCAGAGGAAAATTCTGCTGCTAAGACCTGAAAAAATCAGTAGCATGGCAAAATTTCCTCCTTGCCTATTACCTATACTCGATAGTAATTGAGCAACTAAAGAGAGTAAGCCGTGACGTAAACACGAAGATTATTATGCAAAAAGACGCAAATATATCAAGAAATTGTAAATGGGCATTAGTGTGTCTGATGATGTTTATTGGAAATCTAAATGCATCTTCTTTTATGGAAAGGCAACACAATTTTAAAGACTTCCAATGCGAGAAGTTGTCCAAAATTTAATCATTTCCACAATCCAACAAAATATTAAGTTTTGCTTTAAAATAGTTTAAGGAACTATTAACGCCTCATCTAAATGCAGATGACTGAATAGAATTATTAAAAGATACGCATCCACAGATGGCAATCATTCAATTGACATTTTTACCATATGAAAACCCTAACACATTAATATCATTCTCACGTTGAATAGAGAATTTGTAAAATATTTAAAGCTCGTCAGTACCCTTATTTATATCCCCTGTGGTCTGATCTTGAAACCGCATCACGTTCAAAGGGACAGCAACAAGAGAATCCGAGATGGATATAAATTGCCTATCATTTGTTTAAATGGCTGATCCTTTCAGATTTTGAAGAGGCACTTATTTTTTATTTCCAACATTGTCGCCGTCATATGGATGGCCTTTTCAGGTATAACAATAGGATGTTTCCTTGAGGTTAACGAGATGCTGAACTGTTACAAATTATCGGTCATTATGTAAGTGAGCCATTTAAATGCGTGCTATTTTCGCACGTTTCTTTATATTGATTGTCCACCGAATAGACGGATTATTCAGATACCTTTTGGAAAGTATCGGCTGTACGTTCGGGGAAACTTGGGTGTGCAATACGTAGTGGCAACATGACGATATTTGCTCTAATTTTTAACAAACTTTTCGGAGTTAGAAAATTGCAAAATAATAAGTAATCAATTGGGAAAAAAAGTATTGAATGAATTTTGAGGTACACTTAAACGTCTTAACATCTCTCATATAAACACGAAAAAACTTCATTTAATGAGCTTTATCGGCGTGAGAGTAAAAGAATATAACACAAAGTTCAATTAGCCCTTTACCTGCTAAGAATATTCAATCAATTCCAGACTCCCGTTGTCAGAGGAAAACTGAAACATACTAGTCATTTTAGATTAGGTTTTCAATTTTAATTATAGTTCTGCATTAAGACTTACTAAATTTGAAGTAAGACTCTAAAATGAAACAAGCTGCTTGGACTGTATTACTGGTTATTTGAATGAAAAAGTAAGTCGGTTTTCCTGGTATTCAGAAGAAATAATTTTCCTGCCAATTTGACCAACTAAAAATGAAAAGCATAAAACTTCGATTTATCTATGATTTTTAAAATGGAGGTTTTAAACTATTTATTTATTTTCATATTTTAACTATCAATTCCCTAATCCATTTCTTTATCTTTATTGTATAGTTCTTTTTGACTACAGGTAACTTTAAAAACGCAAACTTAACTACCCATAAAAGCTGGCTTTAAGATAGTCATATTTATGTGTACAGAATTCAACTTAAAAATAACCGCCAAAGAAATATTGTTACTTTTGTTTCGAAATATTATACGTTTCTTTGACGAATGCTAAAACACCGTCAGTGGAAAATCACACATGTACCCAATCTCATCAGTACAGTCTCATTGTTTCATACATTTGTTCTATAAAATCATGAAAAAATTAATCCAAGTGTTCATAATTAAGCAGAAACATGGCCTACTTCTAGACAATTTCCACTTGTCTCAAGTTGTTTTTTTTTCAAAGCTGAAGATTTGTAAGATTTGTAAGATTTGTAAGCAAATCTTCAGCTTTGAAAAAAAAACAACTTGAGACAAGTGGAAATTGTCTAGAAGTAGGCCATGTTTCTGCTTAATTATGAACACTTGGATTAATTTTTTCATGATTTTATAGAACAAATGTATGAAACAATGAGACTGTACTGATGAGATTGGGTACATGTGTGATTTTCCACTGACGGTGTTTTAGCATTCGTCAAAGATTCTTCTCTCATTCTCTCTCACACTTGCGTCTGGATTCGGGGATCTAGCATTATTTGTACATCTCCATACTATATCGGTTTTTTGTTTTTTATGTCATCTGCCATAGAATGAGTTATTTCCATGATTTCTCTCACTGTCTCGTTTGTCATTCGTTCTCTTCTCGACATTCCTGCCGGTCGATGCAAAATATCTATTTAGGTTGCTTTTAGGTGTTTTTCTATGGTTTCTTTCAGTGGCCACAATTTGTATCCGATCCCAAATTAAAGTTCGAAAGACTTTCCTTACCCAAACTAAAATGCTTTGGAATTGTTTACCAAGGAACTGTTAATGCGGCTAAATTAGAAGACATCGACGCTTCAAATTAAATGTTAACCACCAAGTTCATCAGATCTAAGCATTTTAGCTTATTATCTTATATATTGACTATTCCATACATTGTTGAGTGGTACATTATTTTAAACAAAATCTAGCAAATAGCTATACCTATATCGAACATTCTGCTCATCCCATTGAACACTGAAATAGAAGCTACACATAATCATTTAATTTTTCTGAATTAAGGTTTTATTGGAGCTTGAAATAAAATATACATAATATAAGAAAAACGTTTGAAACCTTATTGGTTTGGTTCTTTGAGGTTGATTTCCATTATCCGTTTTGATAACACCTAACATTTTTCGTCTTTCTTCATTTTTTATACATGCTACACAAATACGAGATATATGCGTGCCCATACTTTTCTAACGACAAAAGCGATTTCAGTATTTTAATAAACGGTATTAAAAACTAGAGGAAGCTTAAGATTTTCGTCATGTTTCTAAGCTCCTAATAACACCCAATCTTGGGATGCTAGCGTTCAGCTGCTCACTTTCGTTGGCCTGGATGGCGCTCCGGTTTTCAGCTGCTCTGTTTTCCATGTCCATTGTTGTCTTGAACCTTGTTGAAATTTCCACTTTTATTGTCCAAGCCAAGGTATGGCCTATGAGATACAGCTGACCGGAGGAAGCGCTCTAAAGCTGTTATTTCGGATTTTGTTTCACTTGTATTTATTGTATTTATTCATTTCACTCATACGTTGCCACAAGTTCTACAGAACTCAAAAATTCTTCTTTCGCACGTGAGCAGCATTTTGCAACAAGCAATTTTCAAATGGTTGTATCTCCTCCATGTGATTTTTTTGCCCTTTTACTTCTCTCTACAGATTTATATCGGATGATCTGATTAACTGTCTGCTCGAACAGAGCTAACTTTTGTATCTTTAGTTGAGGGTTTTTATACAATATATGTACATATTTTATAATCTCCTCTACTTTATATACTAGGTATGTACTGTGAACACGATTGAGTATTACCCGTAGCACCTTGCGAATGCACCTCTTAAATATAAAAAGCATGCCTTGTTTTTAACTTGCAGATATATTGAAGCAAAATGAATTTAATTCGAAAACCGGCTCACACAGTTTCATGACTACCGTAAATTACATTTGTGACAGAGATTATACATAATAATAATAATTTCATTACGGTGAGCATTATTGTTTTCAAACCCAAGGCACCGATTTCCATACTGCGATCTTGTAGAATATTTTGTAAATTTCAACGTGTTTGTTGTACATTGTAAAATGCAACTCAATGCCAGATCAACATAATTCGTTTCACATTTTCAAACCCTTTAATACTCCGACCATCGATGATTATGAAACAAGTCGACTTTGACTTATAACGGGAATTTAATTACTTAACTCACTACTAAAAAGCCAGTACAGAGCAATTGGTGCTGGAAATTACTTTTATTATACACAAATTGTCATCATTCTTGGCAGCCAAAAGTAACGTGAGCATTTCGAGATGCAAAAACCTTATCGCTTCGCTAGAAACAAATAACGTTACAAGATAATGGGTTCAAGCGGAGAACACTTATTGTTGAAACTGAGAAACCCAACTGTTTAAAAAGGTTGTTGGTATTTTATTCTTGAAGTTATTTTTTTGTTTAACTAATTATATAATTATATAATATATTTTTGTACAGAGTCAAGATCGACCGAAATGTCAACCAAAATATCGAGCAACCAATTTCATAATGAACCAGTATTCGTAGTACCTACCTATACAAGCTGAAAAATGATGATATGGCGAAAAATTGCATTGAAATTGCTATCTGCATACAATTTGAATTGATGATCAATGCTACTTTAGAGGCTTATGCTCAAATGACTCCTCACACAATCTAGCACCGATCATATCGATTGTATATATCCATATCATATTTGTTTGTATACACGGGATTCCAAAACTTGATTTTAGAGATTTTAATGTATTATCTAAATAACAATCACCGTTAAAGGTTTTTTCAATTATTCGTAATTTAATTTTAACTGACTAAACCAAACCGTGATTTTTTTCTCAGCAGTGCAAGAATAACATTCCTTAAATGCACGAAGCATATCAAAATCACTCGAGCAGATAAATTAACAAAAACCGTCAAGTAAACTGAAACAACGACCAAAACTTCTTATTAACCTAATGTATATTGGCAATCCTGTTAAAAAAACTGCAAAATGCATTAATCTAATAAAACAAGCGTCTCGATTAAAACTGAAAAAAGAGGCGCCTGCCTTATAGCCTATTAAAAACTTTATGCCAGTCATTGGAAAAATAGAGAAGTAATATTAATATTTATGTTTACCTGTGCCATGATGCAGCAGTTTTTTAACGCTTTTTGGATTAGTAGTACCATCCGGAGACGGTCTAGATATTTTGTGCGAAGTTTAATTAACTTTGCTGTTCGCCCTTCATGGTAATTTCATTTTTCGTCAGTGGAATGTTCTCTTATAGATTTCGCTTTTTGTATCGTGGAATTACTGGCTGATTCAGCTGGCGCTTTTTTAATGTCTGGCGTACCTGAACGGCCATGGATATTTCAGTATTAC